CTTTTATGGTGTCTGCTAAGTGCACAGGGCCAGGTGGGGCTTTTGCCAGCAAGTCTTTTGATTGGCCACTGGCGACATGATTGGCTATACAGATTTTTAAGAACATTGCTTCAGCAGCAGCTACCACCACAGCACAGTCCTCAGTCTCTTCTCTCAGGCTCAAAAAGGTTGGGGACTCCTAAAGAGTACTTATGTCTGCGGGCACACGGGCAAAAAAATGCGGGGGGGGGGAAGCGTGGCTGTTTGCCCTGGGGCAAAATAATGCGCGGTTGCGCCAGCAGACGTACCGTGGAGGTCCCGTGGTAGGGGGGAGGTGCCGAGCACACCACAATCCTGCGCCGCGGCAAAGAAGGGGCACGGCGCGGCAAACGGGTGGTTTTTTTTCCCGGACACCAAAGTGTGCACATGCCCCGTTGGGTGCTTGTGCGCATCCCATGGACAGTTGAAAAAAACCCCAACCTTTATATGAGGGGGCATGGGTGGGCGCCGGAACTACCACCGGAAACGCGATCAGACGCCTGCCCTTGCCCCGCGGTTACCGGAAACTAGTACCTCCGAGGTACTAGTTTTTAACCGTGCATCTTCGGCGGGAAGCCTCGGGTTCGTCGCGGGAGCTCTACGCTTCCCAGATGTGGCGGTGAGATCGCGCCCGGAAAATCCGCCTATCTTCCGTCTCTCTAGCGTGCCTAATGCTCCGTGTGACCGCAGCCTATATTCGGTTTCCAGCTTGGTTTAAACAACAAATAAACACCATCATATAACCCTGAAAAATCAAGAAAGTTATATAGAAATGCGTATTGGAGGAAGATGATAAGCTAAACACCAGATTGGAAGTGTTTTCTTCATGCATTTCAGTGCTGCTGGGATACTGTATGGTATCCAAGCGTCAAACAAACACACAACCACTGAGGAGACTTGTATGGTATCCAAGACTCTTGAGAAGTTGAAGTTGGTGCAAGCAAAGCCTTTCATCTCTTTGGGAGGGAGGGCCTCACAGGGCATGTTCTGTCACTCCTCCAGAGCTTTTTAAAGCAAGTTCTGAAGTTCTGCTCATGGCTGATGAAGCCTTGGCTAATGAGATCTTCTCCAGATTCCTGGGATCAGCTGAAAGCACATTAATGCCACCACAATCTAGATATCAAATTATTGTATTTATTTATTTATTTATTTGATTCAATTTATACCCCGCTCTCCCCGCCAGAGCAGTCTCAGGGTGGCTTACATAAGAATTAAAACACATAAATAATAATAGATCAATCATAGGTAAAGGTAAAGGTTCCCTTGCTCGAAAGCCAGTCGAATCCGACTCTAGGGTTACGGTGCTCATCTCCGTTTCAAAGCTGAAGAGCCAGCGCTGTCCGAAGACGTTTCCGTGGTCATGTGGCCGGCATGACTAAACACCAAGGCGCATGGAACGCTGTTACCTTCCCACCGAAGTGGTACCTATTTATCTACTTGCAATTTCTTGCTTTCGAACTGCTAGGTTGGCAGGAGCAGGAACTAGAGACGGGAGCTCACTCCGTCATGCGGCACCCAGGTCTCGAACTGCTGAACTACCGACCTTCCACAGCCTGCAGTTCAGCGTCTTAACCACTTGAGCCACCGCAGCTCCTTGATCAATCATAAGACAATAAAAAACAATTCAGTATAAAACAGTTCGATATCGTAAAGTGCTAGCAATGACTACATTAATACAGTTGCTTAACAATGGCGGTAATATATGGCTGCATTCAATGATTAGTGTTTTTGAGCATCAGTGTGGCCCCCAATAGCAATCTGTTTTGGACTTCCTTCCTTTTAAAGTTATGATTTTCCCACCCTAATTATTCTTTTCCATAGTGTGTCCCCCCCATTTTATGAATGAACCTTCTTTTTTGTCTCTCCACGTTCAGTGTTTTCCCCCTGCCAGTGTGGTTGCCGGCAATGCTCCCTCTAAGCTGTGGAGTCTTGCGAGCAAAATTTCTACTTTGTGAGCTACTACTGGCATTAAAGTTGCGAGCGAGCGATTTGGCTGCCGCATAAATTAGTTTGCTCTGGAGCCCTCCTTCCTGAGCGAAGGCAAAAATGTGTGAGCCGGGGGCTAAGAAACTGTGAGCTAGCTCACACTAACTCAGCTTAGAGGGAACACTGGTTGCCGGTAGTTTTGTAGATAAGATGGCCCTGCTGCATCCAGTCATTCTTCGCCAATCCCCCCTCTTCTATCAGTGCTCCCGGCCTCCTCCTCTTCTTCCTTAGCTGTTGCTTTTTTGCCTTTATCTTTTAACTGGGGCCTCACTTTGTGTGTTTTTACCACACTAAAGCATTTGCTTGAACTTTATCCTGCTCATTTCTGACTTTCATCTCTTTCTAACCTTTTCCTCTTCTAATGAGGTGTTTCTTCTAACTTCAAGCCAGTCGTGATTTCTCCAATTCTTATGAAAACTTCAGCTCACATTCTGTACTGGCAGTTGTTCCTTCATCTAAACTTCTTCAGAGACTTGTCTGTTGGTATGTCTTTAATTTCATGTTCTAAGGCTGCTGTTCTACGAGCACTTTCCTGGGAGTAAGAGCCATTGAATAACATGGGTTATTATTTTTAGGATTTGCTCCCTAAGTCTTCTGTGGCCCCGGTCACACAGATAATTTGTCGCGCGAAAGGCACAAATGTTGGGCGGATTTTCGGCGCGTGATTACACCGCAACATCTGGGAAGCGTAGCGCACCCGTGGCCAACCCGTGCCGTCCTGCCGAAGATGCGGAGTTAAAAAGTACCAAGGAAAGTGCACTAGTATCCGGAAAACACGTGGCACAGGAGGGCGTCTGATCGTGGGAACGCTAGTATCCCGTGGCATCCGGCGTCCATCCACATCCTGGCGCAAACCGGATGTTTTTCGTAAGCGCATGTGCACAAACACGAAACTGAAAGCAGTGCTGCTCTGCAGAACTGCGCATGCGCACAAACGCAAAACGCTTGTGTGATCGTGCCGCACCGCTTCTTTGCCACGCTGCAGCTTCACCATGTGATCACCAGCTAACAGCCGAAGCACGGAGACTCGGGGGACCATGTGATCGGGCTACCGCGCTTTATTTTGCTCCGGGGCGAACAGCCACACACCCACGCGTTATCTGGCCTGTGTGACCGGGTGACCGGGGCCTGTACTGGCTTTTGTTTTTTCCACTTCTAACAAATATCTCTTTGAAATATTTCTAGTACTCTTTTTTTCTTCTTACTCTTTTAGATATTTCATCTGCTTTTTACAGGGCTGCTCATTCCAAACAGTCTAGTTGCTTTTGGGGTTTTCACTGTGACTGTGCTTTCTTGCACCTAGAATACAGAGTATCACTTGCCCAGAGTGAAACAAGGCAGTGAGTTTGCAGATACCAACGACAGGCAGTTAAGAAACATATGGGAAACTGAGTTTGACAGCCCTCGGTTGCTTATTTCTTAGGTGGAAGCATCAGGCATTCCTTCTTCTGGCGGGCACGTCTAAGGACATCTTAACCTCTCCAGACACTATGCCCAGCTGTGTCTTGTTATCCTCTTCCAATCTGTCTTCCCCGCTCTGGAATACCTTGCGGAATAGCTTGCCTGAGGGGGTCAGGAAAGTCCCCACTCTCCTGCACAGGACAAAATAGTTCACGAACTTACTTGGGCCCCGGTCACACGGGCCGGATATTGCAGGGGGAGGCGTGGCTAATTGCCCCGGCGCAGTTTGATCCGCGATTACGCGATCAGACACGCCGGCGGCACACCACGGGTCCTTCCCTCGGCGCCGGTGGGTAAATGAGGGTGGCGATCACACAACGATCCTGCAGCGCGGCAAAGAAGCAGCGCGGCGTGATCACACCAGCAATGGCTTGGCGCCGCTTCTGTGGCAAACGGGGTCATTTATTTTCTTTTAAGCTGAAGGACGGAGGAGTGGAACTTTTGGTTTCGCGTTCAACGGCATGTGCGATTCTGCGCAGCAACAGAACTTTCGCTTTCCTCTTCGTGCGCATGCGCCATTGGTTGCTTGTGCGCATCCTGGGGAGACTTGGGGGGAAAAAACCATTTCACGACAGGACATGGGTGGGCGCCGGATGCCACGAGCAACCACCAGAAACGTGTTCAGACGCCCGCCCTTGCCCCGCGGTTTCCGGACACTAGTACCTTGGAGGTACTAGTTTTTTACGGCGCATTGTCGGCGGGAAGCCTCGGGTTAGCCACGGGAGCTCTACGCTTCCCAGATGTTGCGGTTTGATCGCGCCCGGAAAATCCTCCTATCTTCCGTCTCTGTAGCGTGGCTAATGCTCCGTGTGACCGCAGCCTTGGATAAATAATTGGGCCTTGTGGTTTATGCTGCTGTATATAGCCTAATGTAAGTAGGATCCTATTATGTAATTTCTGCACTGCTTAATGTGTCAGGTTAATGCTTATCCTATGCTTCTGTTTCTTTCTGGTGGTTCCGGACTTCTGACCTCCCTAATGCGTTGGGTATTGAACGTCCCATTCTGTCAATTGTCCTGACTCACTCTGTGTAATTTGGCCTTGAGTCCCCGTGAGAAAGGTGGACTTTAAATGAGATTTTAAAAATATAAAAATGATTAATGCAAGCCCTGGTTTACTGCAAATGCTGATTCCTTAATCAGTGATTGTAACCATGGTTTAAAGTAATGGAGGGAACCTGGCTTGCATTAACCAGGGATTGCTTTGGGGTACAAGGTAATGCAAAATGACAGTCAATGAAGGAGAGAGGGGGAAAATTTACTCTGGGAGGTTGAGCGAAAGCATGTATTTATAAGACTGGCATACGAACCTTGACATTCTCTCTGCAGCCAGTGAACACTCGTATGTGTTGTGGAAAGGTGTATTGTGGTGTTGACACTAGATGGATGCAAACCCAGAAGGGAGACCTTAGGATGGATATTTGCCTTAGAAGGATAATTAGGCTGACCTACCTTAATGAAGGTGAAAGCGAAACACTTTGAACATTCAAAATATGCTATATAAATGCTAAATATTCTGTCTTTCTATTTCCATAGAAATTGCTCCCTGGTTACGTGTTTTCAGAGCAGAAAATGCTGTTGACTTTTCCCAGATAACGTTTGATTCCAAACAAGAAGAACTTATTATCGGAGCAAGGTGAGATGCTGCTCTTATACCATATATAATCAGCCGGCTGATTTTCTCTGGCTGGCATGCATCTGCCATGAAATGTCCTGGTCTTTATCCAGGAAAGACTATCAGTCGGAGGCTTTAAAATGTAAAGAATTCAGGTTCTTGAATTTTACTCGCCACATTCACCATGGTACGGGGTTCCTTTAACTTTGGGACAGAATTCGGCTCCTACATCCCGTATCACAGAAAAAGACCCAGGTCTTCCTCCCCCCCCCTTTATTCTTTAAGGCATAAAGTTGAAATTAATCATGGAATTCAGTAGTGGCGGAAGTATTCTGTAATCCTCTGTAGTTGGTGTCAGTTGCCCAGTACTAGTAATGTCACTCACCCTCCTCAACTCCAAAGCAGTTTTACAAGTATTTTAAAATACTATTTATTTATTTATTTTATTCAATTTATACCCCACCCTTCCCGCTGTGCGGGCTCAGGGCGGCTTACAAGGGCATATAAAACATATTTAAAACCAGTTTTAAAACCATCACTATACAAATAACATTACAACCAAATATTAATAAAGTGCATTTGTTCAGTCACTTATTAAAAATGCTGAACAGGGAAGTATGAAATATTAATAATAAGTGACTGAACAAATAAACATAGAAAGAGAGCTGGAAGGGACCTCCGTGGTCATTTAGTCCAACCCCATACACAGTGCAGGAAATTCACAGCTCCCCCCCACACTCCCACAGTACCCCCCCTGCTCTATAATGGCCTTTATGGCCAGGGACCGGCCTACCTAAGGGACTGCCTTTCCCCGCATGTTCCCCCAAGGGCACTACGGTCGGGGAGCCGAAACCTCCTGGATATTCCGGGCCCCAAGACCATCAATCTCGCTATGACCAGGGCCAGGGCGTTTTCGGTGGCGGCTCCTACCTGGTGGAATGAGCTCCCAGAGGAGATCCGGGCCCTGCGGGACCTTATGCAGTTCTGCAGGGCCTGTAAGACGGAGCTCTTCCACCAGGCTTTTGAGTAGGAGCCGCCGCCACCAGTATTCCACCAACGCCTTCTCATCACCGCAGTCTACTACCGCAGGTACGGGTATCTTCGAGGGTGTGGGATGTCCCTAGTGGACGACAGGGTTGTGGGGACATATATTGTTGTTGTTGTTTAGCTAAAACATCTCCAGAATACCATCTCGGTTATGATTCGGAGTGAGTATCGGAGCACCGAAAACTTATTTCTACTAATTTTAATTAACTGAAATACTTGCATTATTGTACTTTATACTGTTTTTATTGTTACCATTTGGCATTTTGCCCTCGTTAGCCGCCCTGAGCCTTCGGGGAGGGCGGGATACAAATCCAAAGAATCTCTCCTTATATATAATTGAATAGTGGGTGCCAAAGTTCTAATTCTAAAATGCACTCCCTTAGTGTATGGCTGATGGCACTGCTCCTCAGCATATATTGCCACCAATCAGAAGGCAAAGCCCGGGTCCCGCCCACACCACAACTGCTGCGACAACCTGGTCTTTTGCATATGGAAGCTGATTGGACTTCACTCCATTCCACACCTCAAACTCCCCCCCCCCGCAAGGCAGTTGGAATATAAGTTGCATATGGAACCTGCTCTATTCTGGTGGTGTGCAGGTCCCAGGTTCATGTTTTAAAAGCAGACTGACACTGTTTGCCCAAAGCCAGAGCACTCTCCCAGAGCCTCTTTCTAGCTCCCGTCGTATTTATTTCCACAACGGGCCTTATTTCTAGTAAATAAATAAATAAATGTAAATACGTTCCGCTTTAAAAACTACAAAAAAGTAGCTATTGCCTGAAGCTTCATGGGGAGGGGCTGAGCTAAACCAGGAGTCCCCCGTGTGGTGCCTAAAGGATGCCATGACACCCACCAAGACCTTTCTTGACACGCGCCAAGTGGTTTTGGAAAGTGGGCGTGGCTAGAAGAGGCTTTTGTCCAGCCGGGCTTTTGCAGATTCAAAAACCTACTGCTTTGGCACCAGCTGCGACCAGGGCTATTTTTGGGCAGGAACGCGCAGGAACGGAGTTCCGGCTGGCTTCAGAGTTGGCCACGCCCACTACAGCCAAAACCTCTGCGTGTGTGGCTACAGAGGGAAGGCCTGGAGAGCGAACCCCCCCCCAACAACTCCAAGGCAGGCGGGCTTGGGGCCCCCTGGAAGGATCGGGGAGACATTTAGATGCCCCCCAGTGCATTAAACTGCCTTCCTTTCAAGGGGGGGGGGCTTGCCCAGGCTCCCTGCAGCTGCAGGGCGCCCGGGCAAGCCAAGGGAAGGCATGGGGTGTGGCCTAATATGCTAATTAGTTTCTGCTGTTGGGTGTGGCGTGGCCTATTATGCTAATGAGTTCCTGCTGGGCCTTTTCTACTAAAAAAACCCTGGCTGCGACCACAGCACAAGAATCTTCACTGCACGACTGAAGATCAGCTGTACGTATGCAAGGAAATGTTTTTAAACAGTGTGTGTATTTGAAAAGGCATCCTGCTAAACGGAGATTCCGCCTGAAATGTTGAAGAGTGACTCTTAAAGTTATGCAAAACTTCACTCACCGTCATTTTGTGGTCAGCTCTGCCTGCTGAGGCAGCCATTTTGTGGCTTGTGCTCGCCCCCCTCTGTCAGAATGCCAAAGGTGCTCACAGGCTCAAGAACGTCTGGGGACCCCTGAGCAAAACGATCACTGAACTTACGTTCAACTTTTTGGTACATGTCAATGTCATGCACATTGGGAAGCCCGGCTAATTTGTGATTTAATAGCCTGCGGTTGCTGCTCTGGAAATGCTGCCTCCATGCTAAAACGGTATTTTCCTGCTGGCGACAAATGCAGGCTTGCCCTTCTAGCTTTGTTTTTTGTTTTTTGTTTTAAATCAGGTTGAACTTTAATGAGGGTGCTTTAAGGAAGTGGCTTTGACCAAGGAGAGAGCTGCTGGTCGTTTGGTTTTTGCAAGCCGGTTAAAATCTCAAAGGGCGGTGGCTGTGGTGGCTCAAGTGGTTAAGACGTTGAGCTGCAGACCGAAAGGTCAGTAGTTCGACAGTTCGAGACCCTCATGCCACGTGATGGAGTGAGCTCCCATCTCTACTTCCAGCTCCTGCCAACTTAGCAGTTCGAAAGCAAGAAATTGCAAGTAGATAAATAGGTACCGCTTCGGTGGGCAGGTAATTTATTTATTTTATTTATTTATTCGTTAGATTTCTCTCCCGCCCTCCCACCGAAGCGGCTCAGGGCAGCTTACAACAATTATATAACCAGCATAAGTACATATATAAAATACAACTCAATAAAATAGCTCAGCTCATTTCCAATTAAATAAATACAGCATTCCCTGCGCCTCGGTGTTTAGTCCTGCCGGCCACATGACCACAGAGAAGTCTTCGGACAGCGCTGGCTGTTCGGCTTGGAAACGGGGATGAGCACTGCAACCCTAGAGTCGGATTCGACTGGCTTTCGAGCAAGGGAAACCTTTACCTTTTCTTTAAATCTCAAAACAGCCCACGAAATGATTTCTTGCTGAAACGATGTAGTCTCAATAGACGATGTGGTGGTCTTTCTGTGGCATGAACTCTTCTTTGAGTTTGTGGAAATTTGATTCCAATCAGATTGGTGAACGGAACCGATGTGGAAGAATCTCACCATCAGGAACTGCATCTAACCCTGGTCCTTCTGTGGAACGCAGAAATCTGAGCCCCTTTTAGCTTTGTTGCTGCCTGGAGTTCCTGATCTCTCAGCTGGCCCTCTAAAAAGGAAGAGGCTCTTCACTGACTGGTCAGAAGCTCCTGCTTAGGGCTCCGTGTCTGTGCTCCAGGCAAGGCCCTGACTCCGGGTTGGGAAATTCCTGGAGATTTTGGGGGTGGAGCCTCGGGAGGGTGGGGTTTGTGATGAGGACGGACCTCAGTGGGGGTCAGCCCTCTAGAGTAGCCGTTTCCTCCAAGGGAACTGATCTCTGTCATCTAGACATCAGTTGAGTTGGCCACGCCCAGCAGGAGCTCATTAGCATAACAGGCCACACCCAACAGCAGAAACGCATTCGAATTGGCTACATTAGGGGTGTGTGGCCTAACATGCAAAGGAGTTCCTTTTTTTGTAAAAAGCCCAGTGGGAACTCATTAGCATAACAGGCCACACCCAACAGCAGAAACTCATTAGTGTATTAGGCCACACCAACATCAGAAACTCATTAGCATATTAGGCCACACCCCATGCCTTCCATTGGCTTGCCTGGGCGCCCCGCAGCTGTGGGGCATCTGGGCAAGCCCCCCCTTGAAGGGAAGGGAAGGCAGTTTAAACTGGGCACCCGGGCAAGCCAGTCCTTGGACAGGCCGGAGGAGGCACGGGGAGGCAGCTTAAATTAACACACACCATGTGGTAACTTAAACCTTCCAGCCTCCCCCCCTGCCAGTCTTGGAGTTGCCGGGAGGGGTCGCTCTCCAGGCCTTCCCTCTGTAGCCATGCATGCAGAGGTTTTGGCTGTAGTGGGCGTGGCCAACTCTGAAGCCAGCTGGAACTCTGTTCCTGTGCGTTCCTGCCCAAAAATAGCCCTGGTTGTGATTCTGGAAGATCTCCAGGTCCCACCTGGAAGTTGGCAACCCTTGCTTTGAGCCTGCTATCTGCTTTTCTTTTTTTTCTTTTTTCTTTTTTTAAGTTTGCTGTGCCCTGACCCTCCTTGGATTCTGCCTGCTGCCTGCCATTTCCTCTAATCCAGCGATGGCACCCGTGCCCTGGCAGGCAAACGAAATGTAACAATAACTGAGGGAGGCCAGCACAGTAGAAAATACAGTTTTGTTAAAACCATTGACTTAAGAAGTTAATATTAAACTTATTTGCACCCTAAAATGCAGATGTCGTTTCTCTATTTAACATGGCAATGCATCCAACCATCTGTGAAGTTCATTTATTTAGAATTGATTCTATGCTGCCTCAAGAGTCATTCACAAGGCGACTTACAATTAAAAGCAACAACGGCCCCGGTCACACGGCAAAGGTGCCGCGGGAGGGGCACGG